TTTTGGTCGATGCATGAAAAGACGACAAAAAGCAAGGCGTTGTATTTCACCAAGCGAAAGCATCTCGTTCCTGCAAACCGTGTTCCTTAAGAACCAAGTGTCTTAATTTTCAAGCCTTTACACTGAATAGAATATTAGTCCTCTCCCAAAGTAGACCTGAAATCCTAAGCTAAAATGTACAATTCAGAATCGGTTACACTATCAATGCAGTGCCTTTACGGTTGTGAATCTAAAGCTGCAGGCCTAGCTTAACCGTACGAACTCCACTGCACTCAGATACTTCTACACAAGTCGCACCTCATCTCATTCTTTTATTCGTTTATACAAAGGGATGAGAAGAGAGCAGCTTTAATAAAGTTTTCTACTCAATCCGATTTCCGAGTTGAAAGCGTGCCAACAGTGTCCCAATTTGAAATTTCACTTACTTGCAGCGATATCTAAGCGTGCCTCAACTTTTTCAAAATCCTTATTTCGCACTTAGGCTGAGAATATCTTCGTGAAATTTCAGCATTCTAGCTTGACTAGTTCCGGAAATCTTTTCCAAATTTTCTTTCTGATTTCGTTTGTAAATGGGAATAAGCGTATTTAAAACTAAATTTTATACTTAGGGAATTACAGCATGGGCTTAAAAAATTCTTGTAAAATTTCAGCTTTGTAGCTTCTGTGGTCGCTGAGCAGAAATTAGGTGACAAAACTTGCAAATATACAAAAGCAAGCCGATAATCTCTCGCCACATGTGTTTTGCTTTCCAGTAATAGTGCAAAAAGTGCACAATTAAAAGTTAGTAAAAGGCCACACAAAAAGTTTTTTTTGAGGAAAGCTTACCAATCGCCTTCCACAGTTTCATCAAGTCCAGAGAATCGGATTAATGTCTTATTCATTTGTAAGCTTGTTAATAAATCGGTTATTCGTTGCGTTTCTACAACAACTAAATTTTTTTATCGCTACAAATTATTATTTCCGTACTTACTGAAATCTTAAAAGTAGGTTTTAGTTTAAAAAAAAATTGACCAGTGGCTTTATAACCAGCAAAAATTATCCAAAAAGTCAATATAACGCTCTGGATTTTGCTGAGATGAGGCTACGTTCGAAATCCTGTTACGTTAGATTCCGATTATGGATTAGCTTGCCTCCAGTACTTGTGCAAGAGCACATCACTTTAAAAATCCAAAGTATCACATTTGATTGTCTGCTGACCACAGACTTCGTTGCTCTTCGCGATCCAACAGATAAGGCAGCTTCATTTAATCACCCTTAACTTAAAAGGCTATGTTCTAGCGCTAAATTTCAAATTTTTGAACCTGCTTCTCCTTTTTCCGCCGTTGAAGGATAAAGAAGCTGTTGACGGAGGGTTGTGCCACCGCTTGGAAAATACGGATTTTGTGGCACAAAAATCAGATCACTTACATCGGAATGCCAATCAATGGTGCCTGCAAATAATTTTACTAGTAAAATCAAAGTGCCAACGCTCTCGTTTGAGAACGAAAAGAGAAATAACGCTGTGAATGAGGAAGAAAATCATAGGGGAGTTAAAAATGTTTTGGGCAAGTCCTCGCAAACATATCTAAAATTTATTTGCGGAAGGAGGCTTTTCTGCAAAATCACGACAAAGAGAAAGCAAAGATTCACTGGGCTAAAGGTATTATGCGTCAAACGCTGGGCATCCTTCATTGGTAAGTATTACGAAGCGCATAAAATTCAGAAGTGGCAGCTCTTGCATTTCAAGTAAAAAGTGATTTTTGAGTTGGCAGCAGGGAGGAACAATAAATCATATGCGCTTTCGCAACAAAATCGAAGTGCTCTAAAATCGAAGTGTTAAATCGTTAACGGTATAAATGGTTATTGTTGCTTTATAGCTTAACAATGTGCACACATCTTGACAGTGTTACTATCGTTTTTCCTGCATGCAAGACGAAAAAGACATCTGCTGGGATGGTAGTATCACATCATGAGGGCGCATTTAATCTTGACTTTCAAAATGCGTGGTTGTTACAAATTTTGCATGAAGGAGATAGAAAATTGAGAACTGGTTAAAATGCGGGAAGGATGATGGAATCGCATAAAACTTTCGCGTATTCATACGTGAGAACTAGGCATACTTAAGAATTGGATTTAAAGCTTTAGATTGTACGTAGACAGGGGACATCTCCTTAAAATTTCAACCTTATAGCTTGTCTGATTCCCCAGTTAACAATTTTCTCACCAAAAATTTCACATTCCGCACATTAACGGCCGGATGTGAAGTCTCTGCGTCATACACGGACAGAGAGCATCCTTTCGAAATCTCAACATTTTGGCTTTTTCTGGCTCTCGAGTTGAAAATGGGTGACAAAAACTGCGAACACACAGACAGAGACACAGACACAGACACACACACACACACACAGCCTCTTGCCAGTATGCGTTTTTGCACTGCATGTATGCAAAAACGCATAAAAATGATGATTTTTTATAAAAAGAAGAATGCAACACGCTTTTTTTTTTTGAGGAGGGGCAGTTTTTTCTCACCTGCCTTTGAGGCCCGAGTATGCTAAGGGTTTCACCCAATTCTTTTGCTTTATCGCAATATTTTTTACCCAATAGATCCTGACAAAGGAATGCGCCAGCAGTCTGCCAAACTGGCAAACATTCAGTTTTTCACATCACAAATGAGATTTCTCAGCCTTTTCGTGGGATAGTGTCAGACAGGACTTTGTGTTTCCAGTGAAAGCGTAATTTGACTTAATCAAAATCTCTTAGCTCCCCTTTTTCAGTTTACCGTCCTCGTTTCCGTTATCTCACCATACCCAACTTTCTTGATTCCTTCATTTAGTTTACACATCTGTGTGCACCTAACATACTAATTGATAAACTATTCAATACGAATATTGCATAGTGACAGAAATCACCTGAAGTGCATTCCCATAACCCAGCAATCGCTCGCAGCAGTGAAGTTTTGCCAGTGCTGCTACCACCCGAAATCAACAAATTTTTGCCGAGACAAATTTCCATCGACAAGCCTGTAATAGTAGCAAATAAACCCATGCGTAGTTACTGGGAAAATACAGCATTTCGTATTTTCCTGAAAAATTTCCGATGAAGAAATAGGCTTTTACGGGCAGTTCATTTGCATATATA